GCAGATGAAGTTGCAGATGAAGCTGCTGATGAAATCTAATTTCAGCTTAATCTAAGCGGAAACTATGAAATACAAAGGATATCCCCCTTGGTTGATTCTCTTTGGGGATGGTTAATTTAGTGTGTCAGTTTGATGTGCTGAGGAATCTCCAGGGAGCCAGTTAAACATTACTTCTAGGTGCATCTGTTAGGATTTTTCTAAAAAAATATCACCTTTTGAATAGGCAATGTGAGTCAAAGTCACTCTCAAGGTCCATTTCTGTTCAAGGTCCATTTCAATGCCAATGTGAATGGGCATCCTCCAATCCATTGAGGGCCTGAAAAGAACAGAGAAGCAGAAGGACAAATTCATTTTCTGCTYGCCCTGGGACAACTATCTTAAGGGAGTGTGCTTGGCTTCCTGGTTCTTAGACATTTGGACTCACAGTTRGGCTTCTGATTGGCTCTTCTGATGGTCCAAACTTGGAGCTTGAATTGAATTACAACACTGCTTTTCTTTGCAGGTGTCAAATCAKGGGTCTTTCTCAGTCTTCCATGTTCATAAGAACCAATCTCTCATAATAAAGCTTCTATTTATCAGTACATATCCTAATTGTTCTGTTTCTCAGACCTCTGTGTATAGAGATCTGTTTTTTTCCCCCTATATCTGCTGTTCTTTAGCTACAGGACACTCTTAATTGGGGTAGGAGTGTGATATCCTATGTGTGGCAGGGAGATGTAGCTCTTGTCATCTGAGGGTGATGTTCTGAGGAAGGCAAGCAGCTGTGAGCCATGAGCTTCCAACACCTACCACACTAGTAAAGGGGTGCCTGTCTGACAAAGGGGAACCAGTTTGCTCACCAACAATGTCTTCTATTAAACCCTCACTGCTATTGTGCAACTTTACATAACTGATTTGCATGTGAAACACACTGCATTTTTATTGCTACCACAGATCTCTTATCACAATATTTTGATTCTCATGCTCAATTAATTGCTTCTCAGTAATACTTTCAGATATTGTGAGCACAATCTTTCCCTAGTTTTCCTAATCATTCTCCAATGTTCTAGATCTCAAAACACACAATCACTTCCTCTAAGTTTCTCACACTAAAACCTCAGAAATTGTTAATGACACATTTTTCTCTCTCACCCTTGCGTTARATGCATTATCAGTTGCTGTTGATTCTATTTTCAAAGTATATCTTAAAATACATGTTGTAAGAYATAATGTTTAAGTTCATGTTCAAGSTCCATTTCGATGAACATGRTCTATCTTTATCTCCATGGTTGTATCACTCATCCCAATTCCATCATTTCCCATTTGCACTATAGCAGTAGGCCATTGTCTCATTTCTTCACAAGTATTCCTGCTCCTCTCTGCAGAATTCCTGCTAACATCCATCTTTTGCCTTTCCTGTTATAGGCTAGTTATTTGAGTCTTTCCCTCAAAAACTGTGTGTTGAATTCCTAATTCCAAATGTCATGTTATTCAAAAGTGGGGCTTTGGGAGGCAATTTGTTCATAAAGACAAATCCTTTATGAAGGCCTAAGTGTCCATATGAAAGGGTACTAACTGTACTTGATAGAAACTGTAAGAGCTAGCAAGGGACATAGGGTCCATTCGAACASAATCTTTATTTTGTTTCAGCTGTATCAACAATTTAAAAATAGCATCTGCCACATGATAGRTGTTCAATAACTCATTTTTAATGAATGGATGAACTAGGTATGGAATCAGAACCCTGCCATGCCAGGGAGCATAGTCTGATGCACTCCTTTTTAGTATGATATTTATTCAAGAAATCTGTAGCCAATTTTCCCCTCTTGTGCCTAGTACTCAATGGGTATTGCCATAGACAGTTTAATTGCAATTTATCAAAGATCTTGGAGTCATATAAATGCTCATCTTAGAACATCAAGTATAACTATTGATAGATATATAGATACAAGGAACTG